AAGTACGAAAATTGTGAATGAAAAATCAATAGAAGATCTGTCTATTTATAGGAGAGAAAGTGACTGTTTGGTTTGAATTAAACAGGTACAAACTGTTCAGTTCGAATTGAACAGATATGACACTGTTTGGGTTTGAATTTGAACAGATACTAAAACTGTTCTGGTTTCAATTCAAACAGATAAAAACTGGGTAGAATTTTGGTAGAGGGGAAAACCAGACATATTTTTTCCAGAATTAATTTGAATTCTAGACAGAAATAGAAATTTTATTTTACCAAAAAATAAAATTAAATTTAAATATTTTTGACCCAAAAAGATAAGTATTGGGTTGGACAAGCCCAACCTCACACCACGCATCCGTGCCCAAGCCGAGGCCCAGCCTGCCCGACGGATCGAACGAACAGCGGCAGCCGCACGCGCATGTGCGCTTATTTTTGGGTTCAATGGGTCTAGCCCAATTTGCCCATAACCTCTTCCTTCTACAACCTTGGGGTGCCCCTTGGGGCCCTCTCCAAGTTATAATTCCAAGCCTTATAAACCCACTCAATGTTTCCCACCAAACCAATGTGGGACAAGCCTTAAACCATACATTTAAGAAATTTCCACTAAAACTCCATTTCCATGGAGCTCACATTAGCTTCAATTTCCCATTCACCAGATAATGGTTTTGAGTAACCAAATGTACCACGTGAATCACAACGCGGCATAGAACGCATTACCATTTTGACTCACGAAATTTGGTGCATGGGTCCTACCTAAAAAATAGACCAAAGTTTAGAAAAAATTCTGTTTTTCTAGTTTTTTTTTTTTTTTTTTCAAAACCATTTCTAACAGTCTTCACTCACATGCAAGTTGTGAACGAGTGTCTTTTACTTCGTGTTGTTCCTTTGTATATTTCCTCTTCCCTCTCCTTCTTAAGAGAACCATCATAATTTCAATTTGAGAGAGAGAGAGACGGGCAACAACTTTCTATCCATGGCAATTCTGTTTCTCACATTTTTCATCTTCTCTTCATGTTTCCAAAAAGCAAATGGAAACACTTCAGTTTTTGTTTCTCAAAACACCAGAGAAACACTCGAAATCATAATCAGTGGAGGCAGTTACCCATCTTATTCCCCTCCTCCTCCAGAATCCGAATGTCCTCCGCCTCTCCCTCCCCCAGTAGAATGCCTTCCTCTAACATCACCATCACGATCACCAGGTTACCCACCTTATTCCTCCCCTCCTCCAGAATCCGAATGTCCTTCCCCTCTCCCTCCCATAGTAGAATGCCCTCCTCCACCATCACCATCACCATCACCATCACCATTACCATCACCATCACCATCACCATCACCATCACCATCACCATCACCATCACCATCACCATCACCATCACCATCACCATCACCATCACCATCACCATCACCATCACCATCACCATCACCATCACCATCACCATCACCATCACCATCACCATCACCATCACCATCACCATCACCATCACCATCACCATCACCATCACCATCACCATCACCATCACCATCACCATCACCATCACCATCACCATCACCATCACCATCACCATCACCATCACCATCACCATCACCATCACCATCACCATCACCATCACCATCACCATCACCATCACCATCACCATCACCATCACCATCACCATCACCATCACCATCACCATCACCATCACCATCACCATCACCATCACCATCACCATCACCATCACCATCACCATCACCATCA